AAATTCTCCCACCCAGGCGAGTCAGGGGGCGAACTGAACTGATTACTGAAACTGCCCCAGTACGCAGCCAGCAGATCGATCCTCAGCGACGTGTGATAGATCCTTGAACAGAGTTTGATTTTACGTGGCTAGGCAAATGGAAATCTCAGGGCACACCAGAAATTGTCCAAAAGGAGATGGGCTGGGTTCTATATGCATATATAAAGAGGATCCGGCCCAGAACCATTAATAGCCCGTTCCTATGCATACTCTCCTTAGCAGTAAGCCCCACTGAGTTCAATGGGGCTAACTCTCAAGTTAAGTGTATATTGTTTTGCGGTCCAAATAAACCAGGTATTCAAAATGAGGCTTAGAACAGAAGACACGGTGGAACGGGGAGGTCCTTTCATTTTTTCCTTCTTCTCAATTTTTTGGCTATCCTCCCCTGTTATCTCCATGGCCGGGACAGTGCCATCTTCTATGTGTCTCCCTAGGCCTAGGCCGCCTTGACTTCAATAGGATTTGCTCCCAGGTCGGAAGAGGTATAGGATTGCAATCGAAAGGTCAGATCTTCGCTGCTGTCGCTATGAAGTCAACGACATGACATGTTGCAGTGTGAGGGTTACGCAACCCACCGAGTCTTATCTCCTCCGTTCTCCAGATGCTTAGGAGGACCTGGAATGAAGTTTGGTAAAGATCTGCTGCTGTTATCGAAAGTTACTTCATTTGGATGTGTGATGGGGCGGATAAGGGGGCACCCCCGAGACATGAGGCCTGCATTCTGGCTGATTTCAACACGTCTTGTGCTTGCGGCTTGCTTTCTTCTTAGCAATACACTCTGTAAGGACATAATAAGAGCCCTGCTGGATCAGGCCAGTGGCCCACCTAGTCCAGCATCCTGTTCTCATAGCAGTCAACCAGACGCCTGTGGGAAGCCCGCATTCAGGACCTGAGCTCAACAGCCTCTTTTCCACTTGCGATCCCTAGTATACTGCCTCCAACAGTACAGAGCCATCCCGAGTTGTAGCCACTGATATTCCTTCTCTACCTCCCACCCTTTTTAGAGCCCCCCGAGATGGCACCTCCGACCTCAAACCTACAATCCCACGCCCACTTAACTTTCAGCGCGCTCCCGCTGAAACGCCCTTAATACTAAGATGCATAGGATCGGGCTGCGCGTTCTACCGAGGTTAGCGCAACGGACTAAGCGCTCGGGCTGCAATCTTGTGCGCACGAGGCGGTGGAAAGGTGGCTTTCCGAGCTCAAAGGGCCTTGCTTTGGAGCCAGCAACAAGCCCAGGATCGGAGAGCTGCCCCTTTTCGGTCTGGGGGTGTCAGCCGCGTGCGTCAACGCGAACCCAGCCTGCCAAGAACAGCGTCCCCCCCGTCTCTCCCTCCCCCCCCCAGCTCTCTCTCTGAGCAAACTCCGGATTGAGGCGACGCCTTGATTTAATAGAGCCCCAGTAGTCGCTCGCCTTCGCCCTCCATAAAAAGCAGGAAACCCCGGGGTTTGACAAGGAAATGTGACAACATGAAATGCAGACTCCGCCGCGTCTGATGGCCACTGGCTCAGCCGTGCCCAAAAGCCCATTCCTAACTGTTTATGTCAACAGCTCCGTCGCGGGGGAATTCGGGATCCCGGGGGCGGGAAGTCGGGGGGGGGTTGCATTTCTTCCATCGGCGGCGCGGCCAGACTCCGCTCATCAAGTTGGAATTTGGAAAGCTCAGAACCATTTTTCACGCCGTGGCTCTCTTCCCCTCCCCCCCCAAAAATAATGCCGAATATTTATTGCTCCAATTATTGTCCGCTTTCTACCGGATTTTTTTTAAAAGATCCCCTGCCTAAATCTGATGCCAACGAGCAAAACTCGTTTCAGCCTCATTCCCCTCTCTCTCTCGCTCTCCAGTGGCATCTGTTTTGTGTCAGAAAGTACTTCGGGAACAATTCAACTTTGCATTCAAATAACCCCTATTAAAGAGCCGCTTTCTCAGGTTCTTGCGGAGGAGGTTATTTTTTTTTGTGGAGGGGTGGAATTTGGGGGTAATAATGCAGCGCTGCTCCCCGAGATCGCGGCATGTAATTGATTCATTTTACTCACTTTAAACGCGTGCGCGCGCCTCGGGGGCACTCCCATTAGTGCCGCGATGAAATCTCGTGTGCGCGCGCGCGCTCGTGTGTTTAAAGACCCCTCCCTCCCATAAAACCTAATACTCAATTTACCCGGCCTTTCGATTGGGCTAGGTTAATCAACTGGGCGCCGGGTGAAATTCCACTTGGAAGAAGCAGCCGGGAATTGTCTCTGCAAAAAGGGGGCTTAATGGGGAGGGCATAGGAGTAACCCCCCCCCCCGCAACACCCTGGCCTTCTGCAATAAATCCTGGAGTCCCTTGCACGATCGTTCCTAACACCCTTAAAGCTCCCTTGCTCAAAGAATTTCCAGCGCGGAGATTTCCTAGTAATCCCTGACACCGCTGATTTATGCCCAAGGACTCCTGCTTTCTTTTTGCTTTATAACCCTCCCCTGGCTCAGTTATTTTTAAGGGCATCTAGGATCATTGGAGGCTCCCTTCCCTCTCGCTCTCCTCGGCTAAATTAAGGCAAATCGTTCTTTTAAACAGAAAACCCCCTCCTCTATGTTTTTTTTATAGCACAGCTATAAACGATAATTAGAAAGGTCTGCGGAGGAGGCTGGTAAAGTAGGGGGTGGCGGCGAAGAGATAAGAGACATCGATTCGGGTACCTTAATCCGGTTTCTTTCAGATTCCATAGTTTGCCCTGAGAAAAAACAGCGCGTTTTGTTTCGTTAGGCGTTCTCCCTGATCATTCCCCTGTCTCTTCACATCAAGACTCCTGCGTCGAACAGCTGCAGGGCAGGCAAAAAAGGCTACAGGTGAAGTTTCTTCCATCACTGCATCCCCATGAACCCGACTGCTCTGGACTAAGTGGGTTGCAACTCTGGACCCCAAGGATGCTTCCAAATGATTGTTTACTATAGGATTGGTGCTCCTCTTGCACATAAATTTCTGTGGCATCTAGACAAAATCGTTGGCATCAAAATGCCAGCCTTTCCCCCCCTCCATTTAATTCACATTCACCCTTCCTAGTGGAAAATCCAGTTTCTTACTGTTGTTGTGGCCAAGGACCCATTTGCGAATTAAGCCCCCATCAGGAAGCACCGTGGGAGATGGAACCAGGTTCATATCTTGCCTCTGCCATGAACTCAGTCGAGCTGTAATCCTATGTATAACCTGGTGAGAATCTAAGTGGTTTACCTCTCAGTATAGGATTGCTCTGTTCGTGGCCTTAAACAAATCACTTCCTCTCAGCCTGAGTTCTCCTCCTGCCGTATGGGCATACTAACCGACCTTATAGGGCTATTGCAAAAAACATAAATATAAATAACAGCACAACCCTAACCGTGTCTACTCAGAAGCAGATGGAATGGAATTCCACTAGGCCTGCTTCCAGATAAGTGGCCTAGTAGCCTCAGTGAATGTGTGTGAAGTGCTTTGAACAGTCTAGGACTACATTCCCATGCATCTGAGGCCACATTTACCTGGGAGTAAGCCACAGGGAATTCAGTAAGACTTACTCTGAATAGACATGGTTAGGATTGTGGTGTTAAGCCTCAGTGCATTTAGTAGAACTTACTTCTGCACAAACCTACGGAGGCCTGTCTAAAAATGCTGTAGAAGTGCCACATATTATTATGGAAAATCAAGAGTCAGAAGGGATGCCTAGTTAATCCCTCTGTAGCGTCAAGATTCTCCAGACATTAATTCTGATAGATGCTGACCTGGTCTCTTTTTAAAGCTTCTTTTTAAAATAAAACAATCCCAGCCTTTCCATGGGAATTGTTGTTCTATAATCCAATACGCCTTTGTTTCCATTTCTCCCTTTTAAAAGCAGAGCTTTCCTTCATTCTCAAAAGTTGGGACTGTTATAGAACAAAGAAATGCTCCTTTGTAAAAAAAAAATTCACCGCTTCACGGCAGTCATGAGGGATACAGTATTTGGAACAAGAGGACCTATAAAATGCATCTTTACCTCAGAAAGCTAAAATAAGGCAGACTATATAAACCAGTTAATTCAATTTGTCTCTCATCCTGTGAAGAAAGAGTAATAAATTTCCTCAGCTCAGCTAGTCACCGGTTGGGAATGCAAAAACACACTCTCTAATCAAGGAGAAGGATTTCCGGCAACAGTCACAAACAACTTGGGTGTATAAAAGCGTCAACACATCTGGGCTTTCTGGATCGAGTTGTCTCTATCTTGGGCAAGTAGTAGCTTGACATTACCTCCTTTCCACAATTCCTCAGCTACCAAGTCAATTTCAAGCTGGCAGAGGTCAGATACCCAGTGCAAGTTCTGATGGACGGCCTGGGCTAGCTTTTGCCTTTGCTCAGCACAGTTGTACCTGTGCATTTTAAAAGTGATTTTGTTCTTTAATAATATAGTCCTTGACATTCTCTTCCTATACTTTTCTCAAACGACCTGGTCCTTCACTTTGACCCAAGAAAGAGAGCAGCAATCATGTACGCACTTACTTGAGACCAAGTCCTATCAAAGCGAGTGCAGCAATGAGCAGCAAGAGGCCAGCTCTGTCACCACTTTGAAGGGAATCAAAAAATTATCTTACTCTATCCGGAGAATTGCTACTTACTAAGTGGTGTAAACAATGAGTAACTTTACCAAAGTCAGGTATGAATGAAAAAGCCAAAACCCCAGTATTGATAGTCTGTATTCAGTAATGGAACATTACAACCCCACACATGTCTACTTAGAAGTAAGTTCAATGGGTTCTAACTCCAAGTGAGTATAGGATTGCAGCCTAAATGAAGAGAGGGTCCATAAGATTTGCCTGTTTTATTTGAATTATAGCAACATAAATTTGTTTGCGGATTTGGCCTTTGATCAGGCTTAAATTTCCGAAGAACTGAAAAAGGAGACACAAATGATAACAGTTTCTTTGGCTTCAAGTGTTTTAAGATAAATAACTCCAAGCACGGACAAACCCACACACAATTAAACAAGGTTTTTTAATTTAATTCTAAATAAAAGAGATAAGAAATAATAAATCTTCAATAAAATATATAAAATTGTACAAGGCATCCCTTTCAAAGGGATTTTAATATGCTGGGGGTGAAAGGGTAGAACTGAGCTAATGGATAAGGTTCACAACACAGCTTGTAGCGGGGCAAAAACAAAACAAAACTCCAAAACAAATAGTGTGGCCCTTTTTCTTTTATAAACATGCCAAAAATACATCTTTGAGAAGTCCTGTCTTCAACAGCCCTCTATAGACACTTTACCATGAAGTTTAGCAATAGTAATAATAAAATAATTAGAATAATAAAAATGGGTTATTATAGTACCAAGTACACTAAACAGAACTCTTCCAGCCTGAAAAAAATATTAAAAGCCTGGGAAGGTGGGTCCTGTATTTAGAGTCAGTGGCACTATGTAGTTCCCATAGGTTTGTTTGTTTGCCTGGATCTATGGGTGTTTCAAGAAACATTTAAGCACAAATTCATTTCTATAAGCTAATAATGGTTAAAACACAGAATATTGCAATAAAAACAAAACAACTTTGCAACACGGTTTTGATAGTCTCTCTGCACATGAATGCAGACATGTACACACACACACACACATGCACACACACACACACACACACACACACACACACAGACACTTCTGAAAAGCAACACCTCTTTTCTTCATACCTCTATTTTGTTTCCCCTCCTGATATCGTTCCAAAAGTCAAGTACTTGACTGTAAGTGGCAATTCTGAAGCAAACCAGGGGAGAACGGGATCAGGACAGAACTCTTCTCAAGCTCTCGGCCTGCCTTCTTGGCCACTGCATACATACAAACCCCTTATCTGATGTCTTATAAGCAAGAATAAGCTGCAAACTAAGGATGAATAAAATTATCATTGTCATTAATCCTTTGCATAGTAGGTCCCTTTATCTGGATCAATCCCATTTATTCCAACGGAACTACTCTAGGTCAAATATTTGCAGACTGCCTTGCTGGATGGCCCAGCATTCTGCATTCAAGATACTCCAACTGCTTACACGTCCATTTAAGGCCTAGACTGTAACAAAGAACCCAACCGGAAATGCAGAAACTAACTCCTTGCCTCTACTTGAAAGTCTGCTTTTATTTCCAAAGTTGGTCTTAGAAATAAAATCCACGTTTATATCTAAATTTCCCCCACCAAGTCAAACAACACATGGGAACGTACCTACAGCCACATTTAAACGCGGAGTAAGCACCGCTGAACAGAGTGGGACTTACTTCTGAGTAAACATGCATAGGATCAAGCTGCAGCTTTCTCACCTTAAAGAATTAACTGCTCCTATTTTGAAAAACAAAACATGGTTTGACACCCCACTGCAAACATCGGGGGGGGGGGGAACGGACAGAAATGCTGTGAAAATGCATGATTTAAGTATTGATTCCTTTCCCACCCCACCCCCATGTGCAGTATATAAACAAACTATATTACTTTAAGCATGTATGTTAAAAAAAACCCAACCCTTCTCTTTCAGGATCAGATTCTAAGTGTTGAGATCACACCTGGCTGGTTCCCCAGCCTGCAGAATACAGGCTCTGCTTTTTGTTTCAAACTCCTATAAACTTGATAAGGCACATACAAACATGCAGAAAAATGACCAGTAATTGGCTTTTGTACTGCACTCTTGAACTGGGCAAGATCCACCAGAAAGTCTCTGATTGCGCCGCTGCTTTGCTTTCTGATCTTCTTACGATAAATGGTACATGCTATATCCGACGGGAGTAGCATAGAGTCCTACAGGTGGGATGGGAAGCACAGGTCTGTGAAAGGGATAAGATGCTCCATAGAGTGAGGCCGCCTGGATAGGGGAGTTGATGGGGAAAGGAAGGCTAAAGCCAGATGGCAACATGGGCTTGGCTGCCATTTTCAACTTCTCCAGCTCTGCTTCCTGCAGTCTCTTTGCCTTGGCCCTCCGGTTTTGGAACCAGATTTTGACCTGGGTCTCTGTGAGGTTCAGTGAGCTTGAAAATTCAGCCCTTTCGGCAATGGAGAGGTATTGCTTCTGGCGGAATTTGCGCTCCAAAGCCAACAGTTGGGAGGTGGTGAAAGGTGTCCGGGGCTTCCGGTTGGTCTTGTGCTTCCTCAGTGTACAGGCTGTGGGACTCAGGTGTCCTGGAAAGGAAAACAAAGATCAGTTACCAAAGCTGGGAGCGGGGGGGGGGGGGAGGTGGATGATCACTGCCAAATGTCGCAAAAGCAGCTTCTTCTCTCCTTTTCAGCATATGGTAAAAGGTAAAGGGACCCCTGACCATTAGGTCCAGTTGTGGCTGACTCTGGGGTTGTGGTGCTCATCTCGCTTTATTGGCCGAGGGAGCCGGCATACAGTTTCCGAGTCATGTGGGCAGCATGACTAAGCTGCTTCTGGCGAACCAGAGCAGCACATGGAAATGCCGTTTACTTTCCCGCCGGAGCGGTACCTATTCATCTACTTGCACTTTGTCGTGCTTTTGAACTGCTAGGTTGACAGGAGCAGGGACCAAGCAACAGGAGCTCACCCCGTCGCGGGGATTCGAATCGCCGACCTTCTGATCGGCAAGTCCTAGGCTCTGTGGTTTAACCCACAGCGCCACCCGCGTCCCTTCAGCGTATGAATGGGGTATAAATGAATGGGGTATAAATGAATGGGGTATAAATGATAATAGCAGTACAATCCTAGCCATGTCTACACAGAGGCAAGTCCTGTTTAAATCAATGGCTCTGACTCTTACGTACGTGGGGTGAGGGCCGCATGCTAATAGTTTTTTAAAAATATGATGACGATGGTAACAAGCAGAATAGTCCATTACTGGCTGCACAAAGGCAACCAGGCCCAATTGTACCGCCCAGCCCCCGGACATCAAAACACTAAGATAAGACAGTTGGCTTAAGAAGAACGCATGAGATTATGTTTATGGGAGGGCAAATATGAAAGAAAGCAGAATACAGGAAATTCTGACACACCAAGAAGGACCCCTTTTTTAAAATGGAAGATGGGAATGATACGTTAAGCTTTAAGAGGGATAGCCTATATTTCTGCTTATAATGTGGATGTTTGCAATCTGGCTGTAGCAGACACATGTTGTTCTGTGAAACTACCGTGCCCCCTATTTAAAAAATGTGATGCGGGATCAAAGCAATGATCCATCTATTACATTTCTTTGTATGCTTTAAATCAGACATGTCCAACTTTCAAGAGACTGATCTACTCCCACTACTCCTGATTGCAGGTGCCTGAGGAGTCTGCATGCACAATATATGTATTTGTTACATTCACATCTTACGTTTTAAATTGTATGCTTAAAAAATCTTGGGTATACAGACAGAAAACAGAACAGAATACCCCTCACTCAGTGAGGATCTTAGAATCCACCAAGCAAGTTTTACACATATTTTAAAAGCATTATTGCATGCTCTGCTGCTATGCTCTACTCCTTGCACCAGCAGGAATCCAATGGGTATTTGTTTCTGTAAGGCAAGGATGGGCAAAATGTAGATCAGGATTTACTGAGAGATCTCTGGGCAAATTCCAGTAGGTGGTTAAGGGTTCCCAAAGACCAATTATTTAGTAATAGCAACAGCCACTTTCCCCATCTGCTGAAATAAGAAAACCAAAGAGGAGTAGACTTTTGCGTGAAAGAACTGTAAGCTCTGTTCTTGTACTGAAAACAAATCCCTGAGCCCAGATTGTTCTTTAATTCTAATTGTATGTCCTTAGCACTTGGTTCTGGCCGGCAGATCTAGTGAAAAACAAAGGAGATCTGATAAGCTCACGTCTGCTGTAAGGGATACAGAGATTTAAGGTGAGCAGATGGAGGACTGTGAAGGTACACTGACAAGTCTCATATCCTTAACAACAGTCAACATGGCAACAATGTTGGCTGCTCCAGTGTTCCTGAATGCTATAGGATGCGATTACAGTAATATTACAGCCCACCTGCATCCCCATATCACTGTCAGGCCTTTGCAGAACCTCATGGAGAGCTTTAACGAAAAATCTACTGCAAAGATACCATCTTACTGAAACAAGACTGTTGCCAAAACAGCTGGTCACCCTTCTTTTGTGCAACAATGCCCTCTATGTATGGTATCCTAGCGAAGAGTCCTACAAAAAGTCTAGGGCATCTGAAAACCTCTGGTCAGAAAATCAGGTGCATAACCTGCCCCCAATGCGCTCATCTTAGTACGATCGGGAGAAGCAAGAACTTCTAGGGGCCCTTACTGAAGTGGGAAGTGGAACGTGTTACTAAAGGAATGAGTTAGTAGTTGGCTGTGGGTTTTTTGATTTTTAAAGTTTCATATAGGATAGAAATAAATGCATCCTCAGCCACGAGTTGTTATGATTTATCCAGCATGAATTACGTATTTTATCAGACAGTTTAGCTGAAGCTTTGCCTGAGGGAGTCCGACAAGGTTCCCCCCCCCCCCCCCCGTAACTGCGCTAATTGCCAAGCCTTTCATTGAAATCAATGGTAGACTTGTGATCTGGGAGCAAAGTCTTGACGGTTCTCCCCACCACCACCATTTTAGATCTCTGTATTCTAAGCCAGCAACAAAAAATGTAAAAGGAAGTCGACACACTGATTCAACATGTACTTTTTATGACATATGTATGCTTTTATATATACACACACACACACACACACACACACACACACACACATACACACACATATATATATATATATATATATATATATGCAAACATCTGTAGCTAATACAGGCAGTGGAATTTGTTTCATATCTTGTTCCATTACAACCCAAAGCCTGTAATTTACATAGTAATAGTCCCGACTCTTTTTAAAGCATAATTTACATTTCAGTAGCAGGACTTTCAGAGCTCAGCAAGGCTATGAGAAAAGCAAGGGAAAGGCATAAATAGGAATTGCCATCATCAGGATCCTAAGACTGTATTCGACATGAAATTAGCATATACTGTTATTGGGACTTGCAAGTACTTGTGATGAACATCACAATCTTAAAGAGACCACTTGCAAATTTACAGTATAATTCTATGTCTGTTCACTAAGCACTTTCCAATGGGACTTACTCTTTAATAAGCTTGTTTAGGATTGCAGGTTTTGGAATTTCAGAATAGTTTTGTGGGAAATATTGGTTTAAAAGGCAAACGCTGTCTAGAATAGAATTAAACCTAAGATTGTTTAAATAGCTGGCACATTTCAGAATAAATGGTACTATTGTCACAGTAAGGATTTGGAAGGGATAATGTTTTGCTTCTGATTTTTTCTTTTTTTGGTTTTTTTAAAGGAGGTGATTTTTTTTTAGGGGGTGAAAAATACAGTGAAGTTGAGCTTGGATATGCATTTATGTGTCAGGAAGCCCCATTTAAATCAATGGGGTTGATTCCTAAGTGTGTGAATGCATGCAGAGAATGGGTAGAGAGAGTAACTTCACTCACAGCTTTATCCCATGCTTATGTTAGGATCGTGCTGTAAATTAAGTTTTACCCAGATACCCAAAGATAAGTGATTTGTAGCATGGTATTTAGGAATGACATTCATCGTTTACATAATGCAACAAGTGTGTTGTTATTGGAACATATTAAGAGAAGCATTCCATCTTTCCCAAGCCCGCACTAATTAAAGCACATGTTGATTTGCTAATAACTGTCACACATATTTGTAGCTGAACAAAGATCATAATTAGAAGGCTTATTTCTATAGGCACAACTAGATATTGCTCAGGAAAACAATACACTCTCCTGAAGTTCAGGAATTGCTTTTTTGCAAACCGCATAATCTCTTTAAGGCGCCATGAAAACAAGTTTCAGTGTCTCCCAGGAGAATTATTCAGTTATACAGGAGCACGGAGTTTCATGGAAGCGTACCCCCAAATTAGTGTGCACAGGATTGCAGCTTTAATAAAGGAGGTTCTGTTAGGCTTGTATCCTTGGATCTAGATGTGAAGAAGGGCAGATTAAATGCCATTTGTTTTAAGTGGTAACAGGGAAAGCACAGCTTTTCAATCTGATAATATTTGGAAAAATACTTTTCCAGATAATGGGTGCTCTTAACTTTTGCCTTTAACAGGAACTTTCAAAATACAGTATTACAGCTGCTGCATCAAGGGGGAGATGCCTATACTAAAATCTATGTAATTATAATCAAAAATGATCTCCTAACTATGCATACTGTCTGTACACCTAGAAAACCTTAATCCATTTCCCCTTTATTTCTGATGAATTTCCCCACTCCTCTTTGTCATGTGGTGCAACAGTTTCAAAGATATTGAGAATCTACAATGTTAACTTTACTATCAGCATACCCCTATACATTTATACAGGAATATATCATATTTTGTACTATAATATCTTATTTGTGCATTTTTTAAAACCCGCCATTCCTATTTCCTCTCCTTTTACTATTTTCCTGAAGTGACTTTCATTTTATTTTATTATCCAGGAAAGCTATACTCTCACTAGATAACTCCTATTTTTTATGCGGAAAATAAACAAGTTTTGGAGTCAACCAGACCTGAGACACTGTCTAAAGCAATTTAGTAAAATTTTTTATAGACACTAAAGAATGGCAGTTCCACTATTCAGAAAGCTCCTCTGGGATTTTTTTCACTCCCTTAACTTTTCTTCAGTCGGAAACGCATTCCATTGAAATTTCCATTGAAATCAGATGAACTATAACTTTTAAATGAAGTTGTCTTAAGATGGGAGTTGGATTCTTTTGATGAGTGTTCTCTTAACCCAAGTTGGCTTCATGTCCTGAAACCCAAAGGCAGGCAAAAGCACCACAGAAATGAAATAATTCTGTGGAAAGCTATAAACAAATACACTGAAATTCCAGTGGATACTTAAATATGCTTCGTTTTGTTAAAACAAACCCACACTCATAAACCCCTTTGCCAGCTATTTGTATTTAGAATTACAAACAGTTTCTGATTGCTTAGGGAAACTGGTAAGAAGTCTGTGGCTGCAATCCTAATGCTACTTAACTGGGGATAAACTCCATAATAGCAAGTCCTGCTGAATTCAGAGTGGACACGGTTAGGCTTGCACTATCAATAATGATGCTATTCAGATTTAGAATAAACAGCAATTTTCTGGCCTTGGGGTGGCCGTGGTCAGTGTGTAATCCTATGCCAGTTTACTTGGGAGTTAAGTCTCACTTAACTCAGTGAGAATGACATCTGAGCAAAGGTGTGCAGGATGAGGCAACAAAGCAAGGGAACGCAGAAAAGAAAAAGCTAGGCCTTGATTGCCTTTGGGGGGACCTTTACCAAATGCTAGCGGAGAAAAATTGGTATAGAAACAGAGATGATGAGAACAACTCTTCCTTGCCACCCATTTCCCATCATCTGGGGGGGAAATATAGCAACTTGTACTCCGGTTCAGCTTAGATGGAAGTAATCTGCATTAAAAGAAAGTGTGCGGTGGAAGTATTCAACACATTTGTTCTGGTACAAGTTTTTCATGGGAGAGATCCCACTTTGTGGTGGATGAAATGAACTCTGGCCTATGAAAGCAAATGCCACAACAGACATTTAAGGTTCCATCAGGTTCTTTGTTCGTATTTCTATTAGTGGAATTTATTTCCAATTAAGCAGACTTACAACCAGAGTATCAATTTACTATTTTTCTGCTGCATACAAAATGTTTTCCGAGAGAGGAACAGCTTCTGGGGGAAAATATAGGTGTTACTATGGCCACAGTTACCCATTTAGCATTAAAAGAAACACAGTGCCTTCCATTATCAACACCACCACCCCAATATCCAAAGAATGAGATGAAGCAGAGGTGGGTTGCGATAAGGACAGATGTGTGCATGCACTTGCACAACAGTATCAAGAACTCTGTTATGAGCGTAAAGAGAAAATCGTAGAAAATGAAATAAAGATGGATCAAAGGCATTAAGAAAAGCCATGGTTGGGGGCGAGGAAGGAAGCCACACTTTTCAGACTCCAAACAGATTTCAGAATGTTTGCGGCAAGACTGACAAACAGAATAAGAGATCAAGATGAAAAAATATTTAAGGGAGATTGGAAATGTTTTGTTGACTGTATTTGGAAAATCACTGTAAGCATATTAAAAAGGTAACAGTAGCAGAGTAAATTCAGCAGTAACCATTATTGAGATATAAAACTGAGAAAATGAAAATATAGGGATTAATTAGAATATGTAATGGAAAAGAAAATAAGTGAGCCATGGAAAGGATGGGGGAAAGTCAAAACTAAATGTGTAATTGGTATTTGGGTTATTATCAACTCTTTTAATGGTGAAAATTATAAATAAAATATTAATAATAATAAAACAGGTTTCAGAACATTGGGAAACTGTCCAGAAACCTGTCCCAGGAAACTAGTGCTCCAAAACAATGTGGTTTGCAGAAACCTCCTTAAGCGAAGAGACCTTTGAAAGCCAAAGAGATGGGCGATGCTGTCACGGAGCGCATTTCCCCACAGCCTGGAAACTGCCGTCCAGGTTCAATGGAGCTGGCAGTTCTCGACTAGTGAGGAAGAAACAAGAAGGCTGATCTTTCCCGCTTCTATCTTCCCCATTTATAAACTTGTCCCTGGGCTAAGTCTGGAGGCCCTACATGGGCCCCATTGAGAGAGGCGCGCAGTTAAATGTAAAGAGAGTAAGCCCGAGGTGCGCGGAGGAGCCGGAGGCTGCCTGCTCCCGCTGCTGCAGGTGCACCAGGAGAGGCAACCGAGGGAAATTAGAAGAAACCACCGTCGATTCCCCGCCTTGCCAGGTTTTTGCCTACCGAGAAGACAGCGCGGGGGGTGGGGTGAACTACTGCAAAAATTAAAATGACTGAACTAGGCGAGAGTCACTGAAAAGACGTCGCGACAGAAAGGAGAGATTCTACTGCGATCCATCATCCTGGGGGATGGGGGGAAACAGCCTAGACGCGGTAGCGCAAGACCATCTCCCTCTTGCCAACGGCAGCTGGAAGGAGGCATGACTAATGCGGCGAGGAGAGGGTCGCTGGCGCTGGAACAGCCGGCTCTCGAGGCGTCTCGGCCGCCGGAGGCTTTTTTTGGACAGTTCCGGGCGGGTCCAGCCTAAGGAAGATCGCGGCGGGAGCGCGCGGAATTCTTTGGTCATTCCTCTGTTCCTTACTACATGCAAACCAAATGAAGGCTTGGCCGCAAAAGCTGGCTATGGGGTTCAAAGGGCTCCCTCCTTGTTCCCTGGAATCGGGCTTTCTGCTTCGCCCTGCAAAAGCGCCTTTCCCGAGACACTAGGTTGAGGGATCCGGCGCAGCGCCTCGCTCCCCTCCTGCTGCTGCTGCCCCGAAAGTTCGGATCTGGAGGGAGTTCAGACTGCGGCGAAGCGGCTGGTCCCTCGACGGCCGGAGAAAGAGTCCTGCTAACTATTTCCTCCCCTCTACCCACACCCCCTCCATCCCACACCCCCCGAGGGACGTTTTCCCTCGCAACCCTCCCGACCCCGAGACTCACTTGGGGGAGGGGAGTATCTGCCGGCCTCCGGGATCCACGACGAGCCGTCCTCGGAGTTCTCGGATTTAACCGACGACGTCTCGAAGGTTTTTGTAAGCCCCCCGGGGCTGGCCGCTTCCCTGGCGCCGTGACCCGGCAAGAGCAGGTTCCTGGAAGTGCCCAAGCCCGCCCCGTCGAGGCCGCCGCCGCCCGTCTCGCGAGGGGGCTTCTTGTCGGACATGAGCGCCTCGACGCTGAAAGGCAAGCTGGACACCTTGACGGGGCGCCGCTCCTCGGGCACGGCGGCGGCGGGGCCCTCCTCGTCGGACGAGAACACCTCCTTCGCCTTCGACGGAGAAGACATCGCGGCGCAGCTTCGCGACGATCCCCGCCTCGAGAGCTGCTGCGGCTGCTGCCCGGCGTCCCCTGCGGCTGCTGCTGTCGCTGCTGCTGCTGCTGCTGCTCCTCGGTCTCCCGACCCCTCGATCTCTCGCGCTCGCTCCCGGACGCACTAGCTCGGCTCGCCGCAGCCCCGAATCAGCCGAGCAACTTTTTTTCCCTCCCCTTTTTTGGGAGACTTCTGGCCGTTTCCTCCTCTGGGAAGTTGAGTAAGCGCGGCTCGGCCAATGGGAGGCGCCTCCCGGCCGTGACGTCACGCTCTGACTCACGCCATTGGCTCCGGACGGGTCGGAGCGGAGGAGTTTTTTTTTCCCCTCCCCTCCCCCGCACTCTGCCTTCCTTTTAAATAAATTAGAAGTTAATGACACGGGCAGCGAGCGGAGCTGTGTGATTAGGGAGCTTTCCAGCGCTGTAACTTTGCCAAAACAGGAAAGTCAGCGGAGTAATTAGGGCCGATGATACGAAGAGGAAGCTCGGAGAGGGCAGATCCCACCCCCATCCTGCTCGCTCGCTCGCTCGCTTGCTCTCTGGAAAACTCCTGCCTTCCCGAAAGCGAAATCTGCCGGCCAGCAAGAGTCCTGGCCGGTGAGCCCTGGCAACCCAACGCTCAAGAGCGCACCGAGGCCCTGCCAAGGTCATCGACTTCTTATATAATACTCAGATTCTCCCGAAATAAAAATCCAATGAATGCCCCCCGCGGGCCATCTTGCCTGTTCCAGGGGCGCCAGCGTGGCGCGTTCAGGCAGCGATCGCCCACAGCCCATAGTAACCTAAGGGGGCCCATCATCACCATCAATAAGATCTTCCTCCCAAGAAGGGGCATCGGGGGGTAGGGGGTGTCTTGAAGGGACCCCAGAAAGGGTGGCAGCGAAGCGATGGCACGTTTCACTTCCAGGTTGCAGAGGGGCGGCTGGGTGGGTGAAATGGACGTAGTGGTCAAGGTTCTGTGCGCGCCTTTATCGGTAAAGGAAGCGGCCTCCTTTCCTAGCGCCCCTCCAGAACATTGCATATCATGCTGGAGAATAAACACGGGCGCAAGGAAGGTGCGCTTCCAAATTCAGAAGGCGACAGATGACTTTTTGTTTTTGGGAGTTGGAGACCCAGCATTATTTTCCAGACAGGGCCTTTCAGAACTCTACGACCAGTGCTTTGAACGACGTAAACGGATAGTCCAGACCAGCTGAGTGAACCGGAGGGGAAGGGGTGGGGCAGGAGCATCAAAAGGCAGACCATTTGGGATTTAATCCGCTCCAATAAACTCCTCTGCACAACATCTCTAGACAGTCCTTTGGATGGATCGTATTAGCAGTAAGGGAGGACTCCTTTACTGCTTACTAACCTCTCCCTGCAGCTGTAAGTAGTCTATTATAAGAGAACAAATTAAATGCATTGGAGAGGGACCGATAAGTCCTCCCCCCGCCGCCAATGATTAAGTTAGTAATGTAAATTGCAGGCGCCTAACCCTTGATGACAAACAGATGCATCTTTAATAAGCCGGGAGCCTGACTCTGCACTCCTTCGTCGGCCAGCGCATCAAACAGCCTCCAGGATGCCCGCGTATGTCCTCGTCCCACTTTTCGACTTCATCCCATTTAAGCCAACGAGGTGTGTTAATTTTAAAGTGACATTTCAATTGCCAGCCCGAGAAAAGCAAATCATTTTTTTTTGCTTCGTAATTAATTTAATGTCGTAATGATAGCAGCTTAATTATCCGTTGGTAACTATTGTTGGTTATTAAAACGTGGAGGGGTGTGTGTGTGGGAACAGAAGTGTCAGACAGGCAGGATTACAGCTCGGCTGCTCGAGCGATCGAGAGTCCCAGGTAGCGTTGAGGAGGAATCTGATGGAGGAAAATCTATTCTTTAATTCTCCTCGCTCATCTTCTGCAATATTTACCACGACAATAAATCCCATTTACTTGCAATAACATTTCTTTTCGAGTTCCGCGTGGTTTGTTTAGGATGGGGGGGGGTGCGTGTGCGTAAAACGAATGCAAGGCTGAAGTCTTCCCGTGTTCTTCACCTCCAGGGAGGAGAAACCGTGAAAAATACACAACTATTAACCCTTGATAGGCTTAACATAAAAAACCCCTGACTTTATTGTCGTTTGTTTCTGCATCGCTGATGCTAGGAAAAGTTTGTTCTAATTGTTCTTAAATGTTGTTGCTCTTTCCATGCTTGGAAGTGCAGGGTGAACTGAAGGATAGGGGGACGGGGACGGAGGAGCTTTTCTTGCCTATCCCACCACTTTGTGTCCATCAGTCCATCACTTCCATTGGGACAGGCGGACGCTGTGCATCATCTTCTCTAAAATCTGCTTTTAGCTGTCATTATTTTCCCGGCGTGATCGTTAATATTTCTTCTTTAAAATGATAGTTAGGTACCTTCAACCAGGTACTAAGGATTACTGCTTCCGCCTTCATGAAAGAGGCTCTCCCGTCGAGGACTGCCGGAAGCTTTTAAGTGATTGTGTACGTGCATCTGCTAGGGGTACGAGAGACAGTCGCTCTGCTTTGAAAACCTAATCTATCCCTGCCACCTCCACTCTATTTCCACCGCAGAGTCGCTTCTAATGGCGAAAGGAAGGTTGTTTGGGGTGCAGCCCGCTTTCCAGTGAGACTATGATAACATAGCTGTCAATGTTTTCCTTTTTTTTTAAAGGGAAATTCCCTTAATCCGAATAGGATTCCTCGCAAGAAAAGGGAAAAGTTGACAGCTATGCATGGTAATGTTGCAGCCATTGATTTGCAAGGTTCTGGACTGCCCCTTTCGAATTCTTAAAGGGCCGTACACGCAAAGGCGCGTCGACTTCCAGGGTCAAGAAGAAACGCGTGAAATATCGTAATCCTGCGTGCTCTTATTTTGGCGCGCATCTCACTGAACACAGTGGTACTTAATTCGAAGTAAACGTGCACGTCAATAGAAACCTCCCCTCATATGCAACCTGGAATTCGGAACCTCTGCACGCCTGCCGTTTATATTTGGTTCGAGTGGAATTTATTTTCGCGTTTGCAAGCCTAGGTCAGCGACTTTTGAATTCTCTTTCCCTCCCATTTTGGCGTTTGCACGTTTGTGAGTTGTTTACTTTTTTGTTGTGCCCCTCAAAGAAGTACATGCATCCTGCTCTGCGTGTCTCTCCTGCACGCACACCCAATCTTTCAAATGCCATTGACTTGAAGCTTATTTTAGGATAGGTGGGTAATGGGACCCACAAAGGCACCATGATTCGGATTCCTCCATGTAAACGGCAGAACTTTAATTATTTGGGAAGATGGTGCATGCTGTCTTCTTCTTCCTGCTGTATTCAGGTCCACATTTAGTCTGTCAAGTTGCAAAATGTGCAGAAAGTGAAGGGGGGCGGAGAGAGAGAGAGACGGAAAACAACTCATTGTCTGGTCAACTTGTTAAAACGCCTACCTTTGCTCTTGTGCTCGGTACCCCCGGATTCTCCTCCCCTTAATGACAGGTAAATGAGAATTGATGAAAATCAGGAAACAATGTATGTAAACAGGGAACAATGAAGCGCAAGGGCCGATCGGCCGAAGGGCTACAGATAATTACACCGAATAAATGCAACGTTTTTACCCGGGAAGAATAGAGGCAGGCTTGGGGTTAGGGCACAGTGACCTGGTTTACAAAACTGGGCACGCTGGCTGCAGACGGCTTCAGACGGACACGTGAATCCCTTTTTCAGCTCTAAGCAGCTTTCTTTCTTTCTTTCTTTCTTTCTTTCTTTCTTTCTTTCTTTCTTTCTCATTACTCCTATTTAGCTTATTCTCATCTCCCAGTCTCATTGAACCTAAACGTTTGATTTCTGAGTTGTTTAATACTCTCAACCCTAACCCATTTCTTGAAATGAAGTATTTTGGTGGCTTGTATATGTCCCATGGGGAGAGAGATTAGTGAGCCAATACAATCGGACGGAGAGAAGTGTCACCTGTCTGCAGAGTCGCCTGAACGGTCAGATCCACGCAGGCCCAACTGAGTGCAATAAGCATTTCCACCAAGATCGTGTGTCTAGTTAGGACTGCAGGGCGGACTCGTGGGAAGACTTTACAATGGAACTTGCTTGCTTCCCAGCCTCTCACAGTTCCACGGGTTTTCAGCCCAAAGCCTTGAGAGATCGGGCTGTTGGGATCTGTTTAAACGAAAATACATCCTTCGCACCAGGATGGTCAATAGTACATGTTTTCCTTGGAAGAGGGGTTTCCTTTTTCCCGTAGGGTGTTTCCTGCAACTCCAAAAGCATTACAGATCTCTGTGGCCACTAATTCTAGGGATCAATCCTGTGTTTGTTTGTCAAGTTAGCAAACCTGAAAATAGCCGGTGGCTTTTGCGCTTTAGGATTAAAAGTCGCAGGCTGCAAGCCTAGGCAGGCCTGCTTGACCTCGATAGGCCTTACTTCGAAGGAAACAAGGTCCCAGCTTGTTCTCCCTGACTTTTCTACGGGTACTCTGCCACTTTCCCACATGGAACAAAGTCTGGTAAACTGGACCTAGGTCGCTCCTGAATTTAAACCTAGAATTTAAAAACTGGATTGAAAGCACAGGAAAGGTATCAGAGAACGAAAAATGACAACAGCCTGGATATCCTGATTTTATTTTGTTTAGAAGTTAGGGAAGGAGTATGACATAGTTGTGGCTGGGTAGCAAAGGACACCTTTCAAGAGACCGGCAATATTGCGAAGGGGCAGCAGACCAAGATCTCTGAGCATCAGTCCATGGCCTTCCAGAGATAAGAAAGATCTGCGCATCTGAGATCAAGGAGATCCCCTGGAATATTCATAACCACAAAGAACCCAGGCTATTAAACTGGACCCCACAGATTTTGTTGTTGTTTTTCAATGAAAACTTTTCAGCAGCTACATTGCAAGTTACTTATCCCCTCGACAATTCAGAAAAATCCACTGCTGCCCTGCCATTTTTTGTACACTACCCAATATAGAAAGAAAGAAAGAAAGAAAGAAAGAAAGAAAGAAAGAAAGAAAAGACCTAGTAGATAATGATAGTGACGGAGGTTCTGAATCTTTAGGACTGCTTCCCCAATCTAAAGTGCTGGTTTTGACCTATAAAGCTTTAAACCGCTCAGGACGGGCGCAGCACCTCAAGGGCTCGCTCTCCCCATAGAAACCATCCTCGACTC